TAAGAGGTGGGCTCATGTGGCTAAGAGTGAGGAGTTCAGGGTTTTCCTGCCGATTCTATGATCAGAACTACAACTACCGTTCCTTTCTTTTGGCCTGCGTGATTGGTCTCATATGCAATAATGTTCATCAACCACACGACGTTGTTTGCTGCCAGTACTTGATATGAGCTGCGGCTGCCAGTGAAAGTACAATATTTGATGCTAGTGCAAATTCCATGGTGATTGTACTGCTGTCATCATGATCATGATCAGGTGATGAGGATCATGATGCCCATGTTGATTGTCTGAGGAACCTCTCTTTACTCGGTGGTTGTCGGGGTCGCATTGGGGGTAACCAGTCGTAACATCAGTTGTAAGGTAGTGGTTGCTAAACCAGGGCATGCCGCTAATTGGAGGAGTAGGAGCAGCAGCAATCGTCGTGGTCGCAGTTGTCGGTCGTGATGGCCGTGGTCGCCCAACACGCGAGACCAAAACATGCCCCAAACATGGCCTAATCTTCGAAACGGTCCATGAACTTTCGTTGGTCATATTGGCCTGCTGCCGCTGCTGAGCTTCTGACTTGAACCAGATGCCACGTTCATGAAAGACAGAAACCCTGAGGCACGGTAATGCAGCTTCTACCTGAACCCCTTTAGTAACAAGCTGAAGTGCTAGCGGATCCCATTGGTCCAGTACAGCACGGAGGCAATGCCCGTGATGAGGACAATGAGACTGCCTGAAAGATCGTGGCACTGAGCAGGACTTAAACCTTAAGACTCCAAGTACTTTGGCATTGGGCTATCAAATCAACCAGTATATAGAACGAAGCAACGAACCAAACGGCAACTGCTGCATGATCAGCGAAACTCGAAATAGAAGGGCCTAGGTAGCCAATGCCTTTTGGTGGTTCCTAAGTGTAAGCATAGTATAAGATACACCAAAACACTGGGCTAATGATTCTAAGCCCAACGACTGGCGGCAAGCAGGTTCTTGCTCACGGACGAAGATCCCCAGTAACGCCGGAATATAAAGGCTCCCCCTGAGGGCCCCCTTGGCCTTAACGTAGTCCCCATATAGGCGCAGTAGTATATACCCTTTGGGGACACGGACCCTTAGGGTTCTAAGGAACCCAACACCGCAACAAGGGAAAAAGGCCTTACCGAGTGGCCCATTTAACATCATACCTAGCTGTTTTTAAGGCTGCGAGTTCTTGTAGTCTCTTTCCTTGCTAGACCTCTTCAATCTTACATGACTGTCAGCCTAAGAGCATACCAGTCGCTGGGGGAAGATCGGAAGAAGGGAACCAGGTGGAGGGACACTTAATAGGGACCCCTAGGAATTTTACTTTAATATAGCAGTCATGTGCCCATTTTTTTGGCCCGTCAGATCCCCACTAAGGGTCTTTCTTTTGCCCTTTGAACCAGAATGCCCCCAATTGTAGACCCATACGGCAAATCCGACGTCTAAACACCAAACCCTACACCCGATCTCTCACCCTGAAGCCTCAGTCTCTGTTCAAACGTACCTGGGGCTTAGGGTTTAGGGTTGAGGGTTTCGGGTTTAGGGTTTAGGGTTTAGGGTTGGGGGGTTCTAGTTGTGTCGCCACTTGTCACTTAGAATGCTAGAATAGCATAATCAAACAGACCCGAACCTGTTCTAACGACCGGGCATACTTGTAGCTATATGGGCTCTAGTGGGACACTGTTACTGCTTGGATGGCGATGGGTAAGCCATCACCTGTATAAGCCTGTATATGGCATTGCAAGAACGAGGTGGGTGCTCAAGCTCGCGAGCTTAGGGTTCAGGATTAAGAGTTTAGGGTCTGTCGGGGCTGTTGGCTAGGATTTTGGAGCAACCAGGGGGAAAAAAGTACAGACTTTTACTTTATAATGCCTCCCTTTAATCAACAGGTCCCAAAAAGTATTAAAGTATGGTACTCCAAACCCTTAACGGCCAAAACCTAAACCCTAAACCTAAGCCCTAAACTCTAGACTCGAAAGCAAACGCTTTTCAGCTCTAGGCCAGGGTGACCTAAACCCTTCGAGGGGTCCTTAGGGTTCAGGGTTTAGGGTCAGAACTTCTGTTTTCTTCTGTGCTGGTTTTGGTATCTTCGGTCTATTTAGGGACCCTAAACCCTAAACCCTACCCACCCGGCCTATAAAGAAGAAAAGCTTCCACTTCAGGGTCTTCTCGATGCCGGCGACTCCCTGATTCTGTTGAAGAGAGCTGGGTTTTGCTAGGGACTTCAGAGGTCCCAATGGGTACATGCTTCGGGCTTCAGTTGGAGAGAGCTGGTTTTGATAGGGATTTTAGAGAGAATAAAGATTTCGGGCTTCACTTGTAGAGAGCCGGGTTTTGGTAGGGATTTTGGAGGGCTTTGATGAGGATGCATAGGTTCAAATCAAGATTTCGGAGGTTTGACAAGGGTTTGACACACAATGAATTTGATACAGGCGTTAACGGGGCTTAGGGCCTGGGGCTTGTATGCGGGATAGGGGCGGCGGCTCATGGCTTGTAGAGTTGAGGGTTTATTCGGAATGACCCGGGGTTTTGCCAAAGGCTCTGCTGCTTCCTTTGCTTGGACAGATACAGCACCTTCTTCTTTGTGGCTGAAAAGCACGAATCACTCACGGTTACCATCAGTACCTGAGCCCGATTCTTCTGGTCAACGCTTTCACGTTACTGTTCTTGGTTCTGCAATCTTCGGGGAAGCCAGTGCAAGCCCAGAGCCCGAAACTATCTTGTGTTACTTTGCATGATACTATATGATACCATAGTATATCCATTGTCTTTGTCTGATCTTATATTAGATTACATGATGTACCATTACAGTATATAGGCGTACGAAGTCGGGGTTCGGATTCTTCGAGTTTGGTCTTGTGCTGGGGTCCAGGGCCAGGCTGTTATGGGTTTAGGATTTAGAGCTTAAGGTTTAGGGTTCAAGTGCATGTAGGTTTAGGGCATCGGTTCATGGGGTCTTTGTCCTTATATGCTGTAACCAGATCCAGTCGGCAGAACAGGCCGTGTGCATCCTGGCCCTCAGCTGGCAAAGAACCGCACTTATAAGCGACCTATAACTACTTCTCTCTCTATATATGTATAATATACAGATACCTACACATATAATATATACATCTAGATAGACAGAAGCAAATGATGCAGCAGAAGCAGCCCGATAAATCGATCATCACCACTGCCTGGCCTGCCCGCCGATGAGGCCCTGGCCATCCATCCTCGAGTGTGTGCGTGTGTCAGATTAGGGGCCTCATATTTAATACAGTAATTAGCATTGGGTTTTCGGTGGCTTTTCGAGTATAAACGTAGAAGGAACACTAACGAATAACTAAATAACACTGGCAAGTCTTCAAGCCCCTATAGTATCTGTGTGCGTGTGTGAGTCTGTGTGTGTATGCGCTTTTGTGTGAAGGCCGGGGGTTTGCTTGGCGAGGGGCGCAGGGTTTTCGGAATTCAGGCGCGCAGTGTGTGGGATGAGACGACGAATACTAGACTTGTAACCTGGGTTTCTATGTGCTGCATGCAAACCTGGTATAACAAACAGTTCACTGACCCTAAAACCAGAATCGCATGTTTAGGTCGAGGCTGGAATTCGCAGAAAGCTGCGTCTTGCGGCTTAGGCTAGGAAATGTGGGATGCACTGAGACCAGGACGTATCAGCGACGCCACTCGTCGCTGAAAACATCGCCTAAGGCAGCACTTTAAGGAAGGCTCCGGAGCCTTGAGTGCTATGTTGGTTTCAGGGGTTGTGGGTCTATGGATCCCGATCAACAGTGGCTTGATATTCCGAATACTGGCTCTCCTATCTAGGGCCTACTTCGCAATCACGGGGTTCAGGTTTCGGGTACTAGGCTTCCAGTTTGTCACACAGGTTCTTCGATTCACATCTTCGAAGCTGGCTGTGCGGAGCTTCAGCTTGACCTGTGGGGTCCAGCAAATCGGTGTGGTTGTTCCGGGATGCCCCAAACGTCAAAGGCAGGAAGAGCTCGACAACCCCAGTCGCGACAAACCGAAACTGAGACTGCCCCAACCTGTAGGGGGTCATATCAGGGCTGATATATCTGGATTGTGAATGCAGAGCCGGGGGGGTACCCTTTTTGGGGGCGTTGTTTCTTGGTATCTCGTCTCAGGCGGGTTCAGAAACTTCTACAGCTTGGCCCTAAACCCTACCCAAAGGCCCCAAAGTAGTTCCTTTTTGGGATTCCTATATAGAATCCTATAAGGTAATCCCAAAAAGGAACTACTTTGGGGCCTATGGGTAAACCCTTGATCTCTTTCTTTCGCACGCATCTCACGGCGGCCCGCAGCTGTTGACTCGTCAAGATCGGCGGAGATCAATCAATCTGACTGCCGGCTCACCGTAATCAAATGTCATTTTACAAGGCTCTAGGACCAATGCTCTTCTGGGCCTGCTTGGAGGTTCATGGGAGAGTCATAAGTCCCATAATAGGAGTTATAAGTATAGTTACCCTACTTATAACCCCACTTATGACTACCCATGAACCTCCAAGTGGGTCTCGTACTTACCCATCCCAACGGAGGATACACTTTGCTCAGGGATTTGCCTACGGGCGTTTGCAACTTTCGCGACTCCGCTCACCTGTGATTGGAAAGTGCACTGTTTTAGATATATGTAGAGAAGCCGAATACGGCCCATGATGTATCGCTCTACATACCGAGCAGTAGGAAGGTATGTGATGCCCATTACAGCATTAGAATTACAATACATACAATTCTTGTTTTCTCCGATACGTTCTTAAACACCCTAAACCTATTCACCGTTAAAAAGATTCAGTTGGTCCTGGAAGCCAAGCAGTAGCTAGGCCTGCTAGGCCTTGCGCACCGCCCAGGCTTGCATCGCCAATCGGCCAGTGCAAGAGAAGCCGATACACTTCCAGTTGCTGCTCTGTCGGGTTTAAGTTTTCGGATTCATTTAAGGGCAAAGTTTTGCCTAGTCGAACACATGTACATTTCTCGAGTAGCAATGGGGAGCCTCCAACTAGAAATCAAGCTTTCTCGGTGATAGCCTGCACGGAATCGTAAAAACCCATGGTCAAGCAGTACAAACCGAGCAGGACGATCAAGGCATGTCCGAATCGGCGCACCCAACTAGACATGCGTGCGCCGTGCTTCTTGCGAATTTTGTAACTGAGGAAGATGGGCAGGAAGCACTGCAATATTGGGCCGCACACCTTGGACTTGATATCAGAGCTTCAGGTTCACTTACCAGGCAAACCCCAAGCTAAACCTCATACATGCGGCGGCCTAGGACTAAGGGCTGCTTTAATCCCGCAAACAGCGGAGTTTGTAAGGCTCCGTGGTATGATGATTTCCGGAGCTATCCCAAACCTAAACAAAAACATGTAGGGGTTTTCTAGACTCTAGCGGATCGCGAAGATATGCCGTGTTTTTAGACATCGTATAGGGTTAGGCTTCCTTTAACCGGCCTGGCAGGGATCTGTGCTGTAGGAGCCTTGACAACTACGTCGAATAGGCTTTTTGGGTACAGCGTACTACTCATAACCACGCCGACCTCCGATTTCCAATCTCTCGCAGCTAAGCAATACTACCAATACCTCGTCGCTAAATAACCGTAAATTCGACAGAAGCGGTAGCCGTTTTTTAGAATTGGAAACATCGTGAACTGAGACAAGGCCGAGATGCCGAGGCGACAAGCGCGAAAAGCTTGTTGAATTGAGTCACCACCAGGCCGATAACAACGGCGATCACAACAACAAGGATCCGCATGATCTTGTTAGCAAAGCTACCAGCTGGGAAGCAGTCTTTCGTTCCCTCGTATGTTTGGAGGGAGTAGTAGATCACCATCATGTTCCTTAGTCCATCGGCAATGATGGAAGAAGCCACGGTTGATCCCTGCATGAAGACCGTGAGTGGGCACTCAAGAATGTCATAACCTCCGACTCACCATACAAACTTTCAGTTTTTCAGATTCAGTCCATAGAAGTCCCTCGGTTGTGGGTGTACAAGAGAACAAAGCTTCATTCGCCACACCACGGTGCGACTGTCCCTAAACCCTAAAGCCTAAGTCTTCATGAACTCAGCGCCAAGATTCAGGGGCAAGCCGATAATGAGCCTTGGCAGGTTCTGCATATGAGTTGCCGTCAACGACGCCTGTGTTTACACTACTAAACCCCAAACCCTAGCCCTAAACCCTTAAAATTAGATGGAAACTGCCAGTAAGGACGTCTTTGGCTTTTGCTCTATGCCCGAGCGGCTTGATGAGCAACAGAGCGGCGCAAACACCCCGGAGAACAAGTGCCTTCGGACCGGTCCAGTCGTCAAACTTCACATCCAAGGCCTGTCGGGATGCTTTTTCACGGTTCAGGGTTTAGGGCTGGGCTTAAAGCTCTTTTAACGGCTCCTTTCAGGGTTTAGGGACGGGATTCTGCTTCAATCTGTAGGAGTTCAAACTAGGGGAATACGGACCCTCTCAATAAGGTCCCTTTGAAGAGAGCCAGAAGTGCGGTTAGGAAGGGTCCTTTAAGGGGTCTTCCTAGTACTACCCAGGAATCTAATTAGGGCTCGGGAGATTCGTGGCGAAAGCCTCATCACGAAACCACCGTGGCTCGGTTCAGGGTAGGGTTCACCGGTCGCCGAAGACCTGCCTGTCGAGGGTTCCTTATCATGGTGTCTATCTATCTATCTATCTACCTATATATATATATATGTATGTATACACACATAGAAATACATACATGCATACACCCATGCATACACACATCCGTACATACGTACAGACTGACAGACAGACGGACAGACAGACGGACGGACAGACGGACATAAACCCTCCACGCGCTTGGCAGAATGTAGCAGCCGGACCCGAAGCCCGAAACCCTTGAACTCTAAAAGTCATCAGCCCGAAGCCCCTAAATCCTAAACCCTCACAATTCATAAGCCCCAAACACCAAACCCAAAAACCCTAAATCTAGCAGAAACAAGCAACCCTTCACCGAGCTGAATTTAGGGCTTACCTGCAGGGTTTTGGGATGAAGTTCCTGGCGCTGATCACCTGGTGGCACATGTGGGTTCAGCTCACATTCGCTGAAGAGTGTTCCATAATCAAGCGGATGCATCTACCATGGTTAAATAACGGTGCACAAGATAACTTGGCTTTCCAGCGGTTCGGGACATAGTTGGGGCATTGCTTATTACAATTTTCCCGTAATTGAAACTCCAAAACTGTGTCTCCGAACCCTAAACCGCTGCAAGTCTTGACATCCGGTCCTGTTCTTCGGTAGCTGGGAAAGACGACAATGATTTCACGATGTCTGGCTGCATGAAGTCGCCGTAGCCATAGTATCCGCAGCACATCACGGCTAAGTATACGAGAAGGACTATTGTCATCGCCTTGTTTTCAAGTCTTTGGAATCAGAATTGCCGCGAGGGAGAGACACCTAGAGAGCGAGACCCAGAGGGCAAGTAAGAGCACGCAGAAACAACCTAACGATTAGGCTATGCAGCGACGAGTACAGCTCAAGACCTATCAACACAAAATGCAACTACCTAGTGACTCCACAACCTAAGAAAAGTTAGGTTCTTATCTAGTAACTGCGTTATTTGTCTGTCAACCTTAAGGAACCCGGTTCCTTGTTTAAAAACCTGGTTTTCTGGGAAGATCTAGTTTAAGCTCGTGTAATCGCCATAAACCTCGTATCGTTGTGACCTTGAAAGCTACTCAATGTCTTCTTTCAGCCACTTAAGCTAAGCCAAATCTACTCCTTTCCGATGTCCCATCTGTAGACTACCCCGTTTAACCTTTGAAATCCAAACCAAAGCGAGGCCACTCCGAAACAAGCCCAAAACAGACCCGATGAACCCTTAGCCCCAGGACCGCAGCCCTCCGGAAACAAATTTAAAGCCCCTTTAAGACCCCAAGCCCAGAATCAGATCGCAGCCTCCGCTGCCGCAGACAGGTTCGTGGCTTTGGTGGCAAACAAACAAGCTACAACCCCTTAAACCCTAAAGAACCCTAAACCATTTCTATATAAATTGTGCATATACACCTTACGGGCCCGATATATGTACCTTATTGTATACCCCCTCATATATATTATACGCAAACCCTAAACCAATATGAGCGCATATAAGGTACTGATCGAAGTATATATCTTCGGGACTCAGAGAGTCGATCGTGATTATCTTCGGGACTCAGAGAGTCGATCGTGATTAGAGAAGGGCTTGCTAAACCGAAGCCAGCCGAACCGTCCGTCAACCCTGCGCAATGCGGTGCTTTTCGACGATGGATGAAGGTCGGGGGCTCATCGATCCTGCGACCATTCGTTTCTGGTTTCAGCACAGGATGTTGGCAAGCATTCGAGCCGTAATCGTTACCGCTTAAATTTGGGCCCGAATCGAGAATTTTGGGGTGTTCGTACTGTTCAAAAGATCGGTGCTTGTTTTGAGCTGCCGCAATGGCAGAGACAAATGGTTGCAGCCTCGTGGGGATGGCTACGCTTTGGGACTCCATCCCCTCCGTGCGTGAGCGGTTGAGGTCGGGGTCTCTCCTTATCGATGAGGTGTCATCCAAAAACGTTGACATCCAGACCCCCTCCACCTACAATGATGTGCTGCTTCCGATTATGGAGCGGATGAGGGAATCGGAGCGAAAGCTACCTTTCATTGACGACCTGAAAGTTGAGATCAAAGCTTTGTTTGGGCTGAACAAAAGGGACATCGATGAGGGAGACCTCCAGAAAGTTTCCTGGACTATTCGCAAGCAGTGTGGGTTTGTGAAGATGAAGGTCAGAAGGATGGAAGTTTCAATCGTAGCTTGGTTGGAATTAACCATCCGAGTTTGAATCCTGTTGTTTAAACTTCAACACAACTCAATATACATAGGTTTCGGGCACTCCAGAAACGAAGCTCTATCAGGTCCCGGAGTTTCAAGCCTTGTGCCTGGCCCTTGACCCCAGCCTTCAGGAGAGGGTTCGTACATGACGTCGTTTGTAACGCTCTGATTTATACTAAATATATATAGAGTTTGCTTTAGCTACCGCCAGGACGTCGTCGATCAAGTGAACGAGAGCAGGGCAAAGCTCTTGGCTCGCCGACGTGAGCGTAACGAGGATCCTCAGGAGCCAGTGGTTAAGTGTTCGAGTGTGGGGTTTTCAGATTCGAGATTATTATTCGTGGTTGTTTGACGTTGAGACAGAAAGGACACCTGTGATGAAGATGATTACGACGATGCATCGGACCTTGCGGACTTGCTTGCCCAGATGTCGGAGCGAAGCGGCTCTGTAGCCTCGGGGCTGGGCTCTGAGGGGACTTCGACTCCCGTGGATGAGCCGGGAGCGACCACTGAAGATAGTGGCCGAGCCCTCGAGGATGTGGGGCCTGACGACCTTCGCCCGGCCATTGGGGACGCGAGGAGGCTTGACAGCCCTGTGCCAGCCGTCAAGGACGTGAGGCCTGTTGCTACCCCGTCTCCCGTGAGACTCGCCACATCGCCTTTGAACTCACCCAGCCCTACTACAAGTGCTGGCACCCCTTCGCCTGGCAGCAAGAGCTCGAACTCCAAGGGTTTTGAGCCGACTAGAGCGTCGACAAGTCCGTTTCCCAGTGATATATCGGATCGATACTATACCAATGTATGTATGTTGTATCTGGGTGTTCTGAAGTTTAAGTTTTAAGGAATCCAAAAGTGAGGTGCAGAGCGGGAGCAGAAGGAAGCCCGTAAGGCTTTCTTGAAGCAGAGGATCGAGGAGATGAAGAAGGCGAAAGAAGCCAGACTTGCCAGCCCACCGCCTCCAAGTGCGGAGTCTCCGGCAGGTGCGGTTGCATCCAGCTCGGCAGGAGACCTTTTAGGATCCAGCTCCCTTTGGGTTTGATTAAGCTTGTGCCGCATGGAATTTGCAGGAGCGCCGGGGTCGTTTGTGCGTGCCAACGACTTTGACGAGACGCAAGTTGTGGATGTTGAGCTGCACGAGGCACCGCCCCATGCCGAGCCCGATGCTTCCGAGCCCGGTAGCAAGCCTCATGTTTCAGAGCTTCGGAACTCCTTTCAGAACCGGAAGCGAAAGGATGAGGCATCGACGATGGAGATGATTCCATCGAGTCCACCCCATCAGCCTCGGGAACCCTACAACCCGTACACGCCAGAGACGCCGCATCCCGATGCTCGCGGCTCCACGGATTCCTTTACTCCGGATGGAAAGGTGCGCCTTGATGGTTTTTCCTCCAGCTTTTGTTAAGCCTGGACTTTATAGATTGATTGTAACTAAAGTAAAAGACAGTTTTGGTAGTGGCTTTGTGCAAACAGGAGGCTGGCTTTGAGAGAGCAGACCAGCTGCGACTCAGAGCAAAGACCAAAGCTGCCGGCCGTTGTGGCCGAGGGCGAGGTCGGGGCCGCGGCCGTGGCCGTGGTGCGGCGGTCGTTGAGTACACCGATGAAGAGTGGGCGGAGTGGCTTGCGTGGGACGCAGACGAGGCGAGTCGGTGGGAGCCGGAGCCCGAGCTGAAGGTCAAGAAGGCTAAGAAGCCCGATGGTGAGTCTGGCGAGCCCGAGGGCAAGGTCAAGAAGGCTAAGAAGTCGCCGGACGGCGAGTCCGAGCCCGAGCCCAAAGTCAAGAAGGGTAAGAAGTCCCCGGATGGGGAGTCCGAGCCCGAGCAGAAGGTCAAGAAGGTTAAGAAGTGCCCGGATGGTGAGTCCGAGCCCGAGCAGAAGGTCAAGAAGGCTAAGAAGTCCGACGATGGTGAGTCCGGGCCCGAGCCCAAAGTCAAGAAGGCTAAGAAGTCCCACGACGATGAGGAGTCCGAGCGCGAGCCCAAAGCCAAGAAGGTTAAGAAGTCCCACGACGATGAGGAGTCCGAGCGCGAGCCCAAAGCCAAGAAATCTAAGAAGCTCCACGATGGTGAGCCTGTCGAGGGTGCCGAGGAGGCGGTCAAGAGGGGTAGGGGCAGGAAAGGGGACGGTGAGCGCAAGACGTTTGGGGGCCGGCCCCGACCCAACATTCGAGCCTTCGAGGGCTTGCGCTGGGACGTCATCAAGACCTCTTTCGAGGAGAATGTGAAACCCCATGTTACCAAGCCCAGCTTGTACGAGGCTTGCTTTTGCAACACCTTTCTGGATGTGTAATTGTATATAGGGTCTCTAAATCTCGTACTTGGGTTACATATATATATATATATAGGTTTTTGGTTTTTGTGCTTTGAGGTATTGGCCAGTGGTTTCATTCGGATGCAACCCCTTCTTGTGCAGGGGCCTTTCTGGACGTGGTGCATCAAGGACATGAAGGACGACAACGTCGACTCGGACAATATCGGTGACTTGGTGAAGCGGGCCACGAAGCGGTACAAGAAGCTTGTGCTGCGCATTTGAACGAGCATCACGGAGCATCAGTGCTGATGCCTGCCGTTTTACACGAAGTTTCGATTTTATGTGAAACCTTGGGGTTCATTTGATGTGGGCTGCTATGCCCTTGCCTCCTTGGCATATGTGTGCCTTGTCGTGTCTGGGAGATGGTTGGATGTCCAATCATGGGGTGACAAAGGCCACCCGCTCAGGATGAGCTTGTGCTTAGGGCAGCCCACGACCGACAGAACAAGCGTGGATCATCGGCTAGTATACATATACGAATCTAGATGCTCAACTTTGTACGAACCAGCATCAACTCGAAGAGCAGATTGATCCCGCCGCCGGCTGCGCAGGATGTGGCTTATACCGTCTAGTTCTATTAGGACACGCCGCTTTGTGTGTTGGGCCTTATATAAACTAACGAGCATTCTGCCAAGGTTTTGAGCTGTTGGGATGTTATCATATCGGATTGGGCCTTATCTAGTCTCGGTCGTACATATATGGGCATGGCCTACACATAGCCTTTTCAAAGCTGCGATCTCTTCGAAAACCAAAAAGCTGCACTCGGGAGCGCTTCTGCATGCCGTAGCTGGCCGACTTATTCCGGATTTCGGCATTGGGCCGTTAGGGTTTCTATGGTGGTTCGCTGCAGTTGCTATATGTATAGGGCTTGTTGGTTGGCTGCGAGTCGAGCGAAAACTGCTAAATTTGGAGGACTCTATAGGGGTTCGCTGTTGACTTGGTGCACAACATCTCTCGTTCGAAACCACTGACATCTCGCACCTTTTGCAACCCTGTAATCCCCTGCAGCCCGAAGCACCCTAATGCTTATTCAAAGCCCTCTGTGCCGGTCCATCATGTACCCGCCCAGGTCAAGCGCCCGAGCATCCGAGGGAACCTCTGGAAGATTCGTGTGGACAGGCTGCAGAAGAAACGTGTTGCCGGCTATTGCTTTAATCCTCTATGGGCCTAGGTTTGGGGCTTTAAGTGATGTCGGGTCTATACATGTATAATAGTGCTTCGAAGGTGAGTCAAAAGGGCATCTTGTTGGAATCAGAAAAGGTCAATGACGGGCTGATGGGATTTCTGGGTCGCAGCTGTCTTTGGTCTGACAGGATCAAGGTTTGCGAGCTTCGATATGCACTGGCTTCAGTGACAAGTCAAGCATCTTCTGTCGGACAATTCGTGGTTGAGCATGACTGAACCATTGAGCCCCAAGCGCTTCCAGCTCTTTTGCTCGATCGCTCGTGTCCTGCTTGAGGGACATTTGAAGCTGATGGCGGTAGCTCTTGACGAGCTGCTCTGGGGATTGAGGGCGCTGGGAGTTCCCAAGGCAGGGTTGTTTTGCTTGGGTCAGTTTCTAACCCAACCCCTAAACCACATAAACACTATATACTTCTTTACGACTTCGTTCTATACTTCTCCTGGTCCTTATATACTCCTACATAGTGGACTGCTGCTACACTGCTCGTGCCACTGCTACTATACTGAACAATCTTGCGATGTTTGACAGCTGCATGGTTCTTGTGTCCAGTGCTCAGAGTAAAACAAGCCGCTTGCAAATGTTGGGTTTATCAGGATTTCAGGGCTTTTTGGTTTGGATGCGAAGAACGAAACTTCTCAAACCACAATTGATCCATCCCCGGGCTCCGGGGCTTCTATACTCCTGTAAACAAACTATGCCCAAAACCTTGTATCAAAACCAAACACCCTAATATGAGCCCTATATATACTTAAAACCCTTTACCCTCAACCCTGTATATGTATATATCCTCGTATTACAAAGTCTATATACATAAAATCCCCAAACACTAATAGCATCACCGGGTGCCCGGAGACCCGCCACGCAGGAGTTCGTCCTGTGCCTCCTTCTGCTGATTTTCTCGACGACCCAAGAAGGTCTGCAGGAGGCTGGATTGGGGATATGTAAGGTTGAGAAAGGGCTTAGGGCTTAGGATAGGGTTGTCGGGTGCGGGTTAGGTCGGGGCTTTGGTAGATCGTTGCCCTGTATAGGCATTCGACACTGTGGAATTCTACGCTGGGCGAGGTAATGCTACTTTCTGCTTTCGCAAGCAAGGCTATCGGTCAGGGTCTCTTGACATCAAGTATAGCCGACGCAAGAAGCACCATCGTAGTGATTACATGGACATGACCTCGGCCAGTGGGTTTCTGTGACTGGGCCCGTTCTGTGAGCAAGCTTTCGGTCTCATTTGTTCTAGTCAAACAATATAGTGTATTCGCTTGAATTCATGAAGCCTTGCTATCAATTACTTTAGGGTACATAAGCTCCTATATAGATCTGTATAACCCCACAAGATAAGCCCCAGAAAGTTATGAAAGGGTGTATATAGATTACACAAGTTCTCCCCGTAAAGACAAGGTTGGTCTTGGGACTTGTAGTGGGCGTTTCCTTTGCTGAATATACCTATATAACCCTATAAACCCTAAACCCTATAGACCCTAAACCCTAAACCCCTAAACCCTATAGGCTTGCCTGCGCCTGCCTGCTGCGATGCAAACCCAACGATTTCCTGGCGATGTATGCTGTTAAGTGCAGTTCCTTCAGCATTATGAACCGTGGAACATCTGGACGGTCCATATGCAATCCCTGGGGTCGTACTCAACACAAAAGTGTTGGCGAGGCGAATTTGCTCCTCACCAGGCTTGATCAGCTTGCTTTTGCTCTGGTCTGGGATGTGGGGATCCGATATAACATATATACAACCCAGTGTAGAATTTCTATATATAAACAGTATCTTGACAGCCCTCTGTATACCCTGTATGTATCCTATATATATAATCCTATATATAGATCGGCGGGTAAAACCCTAAACCCTACCTTGAGTGCATTTACACCCAAACCGTAATCGAAATTCTCCCTGCTAGGACCGCTCTACTCTGCTACCTAACCACCGCCTTGGGCGGAGTATGGCTGCTGGAGCAACCTTCCGGATCCGTGTTGGAGTACCACCCGTCCTTTAGGCAGATGATTCTACACCATTTCTTGGCCAGGGGTATGCAATGTGTGGTGACCTGAGTTGTTCTATATCGTGTGTATTTAATTTAGATAGGGTAGCCGAATTTGTCGCACTTTAAGAACCAGGTCTTTCGGTGTAAGTGGTGGATGGCGCAATACGATGCACCTACACCTAAACGGCACTACGCTTGGGCAAACTCCTCCTACATCTCCTGCCTGGAGAAAGGCAAATTCAAGATCGTTCCTTGGAAGAGATCTCGCAAGACCCCGGTGAAGACTAGCCACAAGACCCGCAACGCCGAGGGCAAATTGTGCTATCGAGCAAGTGATGAACTTAAGGCCACAGAGCAACTTGATTCAATCAAACCCTTTTGCTAGCCTCGGTATAATTACAAACCATCCCTGCGCAACCTCTATCGCTACCAAGGCACTACCCTATGAGATTTTGCCACCACTTGTCGAAGAACGTCCAAGACTTGAAGAAGCATTGCTACGCGAAGCCGGAGGCTCCTGAGATGCTTCCCACCGCCGTCGAAAGCTTCAAGGCCATGGCCTATGGCACGGATCCGTTGCTATGGCTTCCCGGAAACTTAAAGCAGGTGTTCCGATATTTACGAGGTGGCAAAAACCTTGCCATCCCTTGTGAGTGGCGGGACCTGATCCCGAGCAGTTTCCCTTCCGATTCCGAAGGGACCGGCTGAAGATGTCAGCAGTTGTGCACGAGTGCCCCAATAAGATATTTAGAATAGTATTATAGTATACTGGATAAGGTTCCAGGGTTCTGAGAAGGCCCCAGGATATATACGGAATGATAGGTAAATTCTCCCGGGCTCTCTTGTGCTCTCCGCTTCGACGACGTCGGGCTGCTAGCTTTTGCATAGGTTTCGGGTGACGGGTGGCCTCTTTTTCCTCTGGTCTAGGGCTTCTGGGTTGGAGTCTTTGCGGTTTCCGGTTGCTTTTAATACAAATTAAGCTAGTTTGGGGTGCTTTTTTCCGGTTTCAGGTAGGTTTGGGGTGCTTTTTTCCGGCCTAAGTTAGGAGGGTCACCCGCAACCCGTGAAAACCCGTGAAAACCCGTGAACCAAAGCGTGAAAACCCATATTTCCACCCGTGAAGTACCCGTGAATACCCGTGAATGCCCGTGACAACCCGTGCGCTCATCCCTGTCACTAAAAAACCCGGTTTCCCCTAACCCATCGGGAAGGCGTGAAAACCCATATTCTAAGCGTGCAAAGGCGTGCAAAAAATATGGGTTTTCATGGGTATTCGCTAGTTCCGGCTAGATAGGCTTTTGGTGCCTTTTAATTGAGATTTGCACATCCCGAAGGGGTCTCGAGCATCATGTGCGATTACGTACAGAAAGAAAGCGGCCTGCCGCAGATCGTCGATCGTGAGCTCAGCAGATCCTGTGGCATCGATCAATTGCAGAAATATGCTGTCTCTGTCGCAGGATTACTTTTGCGAGGTGTGAGGGTTATCGTCGCTCTGTAGAGAAACATGAGTGGCCCTGTGTTTAGCAAGCAATGGAGCACCAACACCCTCTTCGATGGTATGGCTCACGTCAACAACGATGCGGACCTAGCGGCAATGACTGCCGAACAAGAGCAGCTAGAGCTGGAACTTCAGGCGCCTTGTTCTCTCCACCACCAGCGCCATCAATACTATGTGCATTCTATATAGGGGTTCACACTTAACCATCCATACCAGACTTGCTGCTGCTGCTGCTGCTACTCTGCTGCTGCTGACACTACTTCCTCTATGTTATATTGTATATATCCACCAATACCTCGGCACTGCATAGCACTGACCAGGAGCTGGAAATGTCTCTTGGTCGAGAGGATGCAGCTCCGGCGGCTGAGGAGAGTCGGAATAAGCATCCTTGTGTTACATATATATATATATAAGCACATGTACACTGCGAAAGATTTAGAAGGTGAGCATGTCTGTGTAATGTTGTGATATATATGTACAACACACATGCACACTTTGCATCCCAAACCCATCAACCCCTGGGTCTGACTTGAGCTTTATCTCCTGCAGACTTAATGAAGCTTACTAGCGAAAATGCTTCTGAAATCATCTTGTAATCTAACATACCCTAACCGTATATAGATATGTAACTATATGTACCTATAGTGACTCCATAACCTAAGAAAAGTTAGGTTCTTATCTAATTCGGGAACAAAACCCTGCCTCTAAGAACTCTATAATATCCCAAGTGTGAAGTCTCCTCGAGCGAAGGACCACCCATCGCCGATGGAGGCGACGCAGGCTGCCTCCACGGCAGAAACCATACCGGCTGCTAGTCTTATCGGCTAGGCTTTGCACGATGTGGGGCTTATAGTGCTGGTTTACGCTATGATGGATTGTTTTGCAAATTGCTCCTTCTTCTGAGGCTACAGCGGGTGAGCTCGAGGCTTTGGGTTTGACTGATGATACTTATCCAGAAGTCATTGATGCAGATGCGCCCTAGCAGCATGAAATGTTGTTCTGGTGTCTCCTATACATGAGTATACTTCTTCGTGCATTATGAGCAAGGAACAGCCTAGTTTGATCGGCTTAAGGATTTCGAGATGGATGAGGACGAGATGAGATTGGCTCTTCATGAGCTGCACCGAGTGAAGCAGGAACTCGACGACGGGGAAGAGCCTTCCAAGGAGACTTCATCACTTGCCCGCCCGATCGCAACGCCCGCTCGAGCAGCAAAGGTTGAGGAAGACCAGACTGAGGAAGCATTGGCCGCCAAGAAGAAGAAGAAGGAGCTCACCCGCCAGGACCGCCGCAGACTGTTGACAAACCCTGCAATTGTCTTAAAACGATTCTCATCCCATGAACCAGGAGCGACTGATGCTAGCTGCTCGCGCCCGCATTGGACGCATGATGAAGCCCAAGACGAAGCGAACCGACCTCGTCCCCCCTAAGTGTGTTCGGGATCACTTTGAAACCGGGCACAAGAAGCAGCTGGCACAGATGCTGATCGAGTGCAACTTCGACAAGGTCCCTAGGCGCACGAAGAAACCCGTACTCTATACTGTAGTTCTCTACGCCGTGTTCCCCCGATATTCTAAGGCTACCTTCTTTAACAGGGTCGAAAAGATTGTGCTGAAGCGCGACGAGCAAGTGGTCGAGAAGGAGCAAGGCTGGTACAGCGAAGCTGAGATGAAAGCCGACCTTAGCTGGTCCTCGCCGCACCCTTAGATGCCTAAACGATACCCCAAAGCCTTATAATGAGTATCCCTGTATCCATTAACATCCCAACACCCCAAATTCCAAATGAGGCCCCGGATCAATGGCGCCGTGGCATTTTGCCGGGCACGATCGAAGACTCACGTCCGGCACGCCGAACTAGACTGGCATCGCCTAGCTTGTTTATAAAACCGCCTTACATCATGTGTACTCTCCGGGCAGGAAGAATCAATATGACGACGTGGAAGAGTTCTGGGTTACGATTCGTGAAAAGGGCAGCTCTAAGCAGATGCTTGCTTCTGAAGAAGTGCACCGCAAGATTGAAGAAGCTCCTTGTTGCTGTTGGGTGTTTTCACCAATGTGTGTTTGCTCCGTCTTGTATGACCAAAACCTGACCCTGATCCCAAACTTAATCCCTTTCGAGTTCCTCCTCATCCCAGGCCAAGGATGACGTCAACTTGGATGGCAAGTTCGATGGCCTGGACGAGGCCAACGCAAGGGAAGCGGCTGAGAAGGCCCAGGGTGCAGTCAAGGCCGCACCCGCAGACAGCAAGTTCCAGGAGGCAGGTTTGCCTACACGGGTTATATATGTTGCCTAACACGTTCTACAGAGCTTGCAATCCCGTGCAGAGCAAGCAGACCCTCGCGAAGTTCTGTGATTCGCTGCTGAACAAAAAGAACAAAATCCATGTTCTCATCCGCGATCTCGAACAGAACTACACGTGCTCGAAGTCTCAAGAGTAACTCCGCTCGCAATACCAGTAAGCTTGCCCGCTCTGAAAATTTTCATGGTTCGGTGAATCCCAGGAGCCGGGACAGCCTGGAGAAGCATCTGCAGGCAATGGATGGCGAGTTCGAGACCTTGAACGATTTGAAGACAAAGGGAGAGGTTTTCGGCTGGGATGAGAAGTTCCTAAGTAGCAGCAATCCTTTGCAATGTGGAGAAGTCACATGTATCAGGGCCGTACTCTGACATTGACAGATTCTCATATCCAAGGCTCCTAGTGGAGGTGGAGTCCAAGATGAAAGGGGCCACTTTCAAGTGCCTTGGCCTATTTTCGAATTGGCTAGGTCGTTCATCAAAGTTGGACATCTAAGGACTTCCAAGGCCATGGGCCTGGAATCCAAGATCAGGCTAGGCTGATGGTTTTTTGTGTGGAAGCAGAGGGGTGTATATATAGGTTTGGTTTTGGGGTTTAGGGCTTTAGGGCTTCAGGGATTTTAGGGTTTAGGGGTCTAAGGGTGTGTAGGGTTTGGGGGTTTATGGGGTTCAGGGCTTTTCGGTAGAAGGAGCTAACCAAAACCCCAAAACCCTACATAGGACCCTGAAGCAAGCCAAAAAAGTCTTGGAACCCCGAAGATCAGGCCTTTCAGTCATGGGTGCGAAATACTCTGTATACATCCCCTATAAACCCTTGTAAGCACATTCACTACATCAACCGAAATCAAAACTTTCTATGGTCTGTGATGGAGGCAAGAGAAGAAGTTCTTTGGCAAGTCCGAGAAGCCCAAGCGCACGCCTAAGGCCAAAGCCACCCCTTCGCCATCTGAGACTGAGCCCAAATCCAAGAAAAATCGCACTAAGTGATCTTTTACGAGCCTTAAAACCCTGTGGCGGGCGAACCCGCCTTGCACTCGACTCGCTCTGAGCCGATCGCCAGCAATCCTGTGTAAGCCGTGTCGTTGAAGGCCTGAGCCAGTTTTCGTGTTTGCATTGTATGTACAAGGGGCACACCCAATCTTAGATTGCAAGGTTGGCCAGTTCCGAGTTCAGAGTTAATTTTCGGGGAATGGGGCCTCGAAGGTGCACTGCTGTGACAAAGTCATGGCCAGGACTTGTGTCTGTATCGATCCATGCAGACGCTCACAAAATGCTGCTGAATGCATAGATGGACGTACCGCTGACACCCCGAAGCAATTCCCTACCAGCGCTGACGCATGCCAGGTCCCAAGCCGGGCCGAACAGTACGTGGGTTGGCCAGTGACATTGGATCTGGAGTCTTGACCTCGGGATCCGGGGTTGGTGCTGAAGGCTGCTACAGCAATAAAACTTTAGGTTCTGCTCACAGGACTGCAATCCCATAATGGCTGCACCGTTGCACTCTTTGCCCTTTGAAGAGCAAAGGCTCAAGTTTGTACAGCCGGATGGTGATTCCCTATATAAGCCATATAAAGAAAGCCCTAAACCTTTATCTAATCCCCAAACTTCTAAGATCCCCAAAAAGCCTCAAACTCCATAAGGATTCTATGCAAGTCGCCAAACCCGATAAGATGATCTTTGGTTGATTGCCATGGATACAAAGGGGGACTGTGTCTATGATGAACTTTTCGAGCTTCTCACGTGTCACAGAGATGCTCCTTGTCTGCACCTTGTATATACAAACAAACCCCTATATAGGTAAAACCTGAACTTCTACAGAAGCCCTGACATTAAACAACTCCCAAGGAGTCTGATGCACCGTACCATTGGAAAGACCGTTCTGGACCTACGAATGATGTCGTGGTAGCCCTGAAGACACCCCAGCAAACTACGAGTACGACAACAATACGACGACCCGATATTGCGACTCCGGTCGCTCGTTTCATGGACGAGGGCCAGGCTCTGGGATGCATCCATTTCCAGACACCGAAGCCGAACCTGTCGGCTGGTGCAGTGCTTCAGCAATTACTATAGTAAGTAATGTGGTTCATTGGAACAGGATTTCAGTTTATATAGACTCTGATTTTTTTCCTATATGGTTGACATCATATAGAGGATTTCGGGTTCGCTTGGGTCCGAGTTGCTCTGGTACTTATCGATCAAAGCCGCCTCCAGAAAAGCGGGGCCATGGGGTTCGTGGCTCGCGAAGAGAACAATCATGCCAGACCAGCAGTCTCTAGCATACTTGTACCCGTACATGGTATTGCCCCACCTCCAAATAGGACCATATATACATACGCACCCTACACCCTATACTTTTTTATATCTCGATCCAATCAATACTTTTTTTTATATCTCGATCCAATCACCAAACCAAGCTATGTTGTGACATCCCAGGCAGGCCTGGTTGCCGAAACATTCGTTGCGGCGGCGACACCGTCCATGATCCCTCGGCTTCGGAAGATGTATGTGTATACATGACGTATGTAGTGTACAGGTCCTTTCGCATTCCTGGGGGCCTCAAGAGAAAAGTGCCTCCGTGAATCCCTGTGGCAGTCTCGCAAGGACGTGTGTTTACACATGCGGAACAGACTGCTGCAAAAAAAGGCGCTGTTGCTCTGGCCAGTGCAACACTTTTGAGCTGACGCAAGCCCAGACGCAAGCCCAAATCTGATTAGCATGCTGTATCGAGGAATAATATATGTAACTTGGGAAAACCACAAACCCTTCCGAGTGAACCACAAACCCTTCCGAATGAAGTGCCTAAACCCTGATTTATAAACCCTATATACCCCAAAGGTTTTTTGATTGGCAAGCCCGGTTCGCCCAGGCCAGTACCTGCGCAAGCGCCGTGCGGGTGGCTCGGGATGTCGTTTCCGACATCGGTGTTGCGGCAGCAAGCTCAAGTGGCGGATTGTGTGCTCTAGCTTCCTGTGATGAGCGGCACGCTGAGAGAGATTCGCATCGCTTGATGGCGAAGCAGCTGAAGCTCAGTCTGCCAGTGCCGATTTCGACCTTGATGGGGACGGCTTTTCCAACTCTCCGTTTGAGGGATTGGATGGATTTCCTCCTCAATCGCAACTGCTGGCATGTGCTTTGTGGCTTGGTTCGGCCAGATACAGATCGGGAACAAGCAATCTTGAGAGAATTTTGGCACAGATTTCGGCAGTGCCATCCCGATCATGAAGTGTTTCGGCTGGCTGATTCCAACCAAATCAGTTTGGCTCGAACCGCACCACTGCTGTACCACGGAGATGAAGGCAGGGGGAGGCGGAGGACGCCATTCCTCGTGACTTCATTCCATGGACTGCTTGGACGAGGGATTCGATCTGGGCTTCAGGCTCAAGCCAAGGCTGGTGCTCCCAAGGAATACACCAAGCTGAAGCCGAATTTTATCGGACATTCCTATACCAATCGGTACCTGCACTGTGCGATGCCGAAAATGGCATACCAGGACGACGACGTCTTCGCTGCGATCCTGGAAAGTGCCAGTGCTGAGGCCGAGCACATGTGGAAGTCTGGCATTCAGCACAGGTACACTGGTGCAAGATACTGGGCAGTCGTGCTGAATGTTACCGGCGATTGGCCCTGGCTTGTCAAGGGAGGGAATTTGGGTCGATCCTTCAGTCATGCCATCAAAGGCACGAAGGAGGTCAAGAAGGCGCCGGCAGGGATCTGCCACAAATGTCTGGCAGGGACGCTCGAATACAACTTCGAATGCGTCCATCTGCGCACTCCGCCGTGGCTCAGCACACTTCACTCCCAGAGCCCTTTTTTGGACCCGAGGTCGTCTTTGACTTCGTTGCTTTGCACAAAAGGACAAGAAGCAGATATATTCGCTTACGACCTGTGGCACTCCTGGCATCTCGGAGTGGCGAAGGTTTTCCTTGGATCGGCGTTGGCCCTTCTCTCCGACCGTTTTCCTGGAAGGAGTGTGCATGCGCGTTTTGCTGAGCTCAACTCCGCCTACTTCTCCTGGTGTCATGAGCACAGCCATGCTCCGATCCTGACACGTCTAACAACCTCGACCATCGAATGGGACCCCACCACAAACTACCCCAAGGGCAACTGGTTTAAGGGTGAGCTTAGCACCACCCTGGGCCGGTTCGTGCGGTACATGACGAGTGGCGGTAACAACGAAAGTCGCATGTTGGACCTGGTTGGCGAGGCGTGTGCGGCCATAGACACTTGTGTACGTGGATTATATGAGCATGATGCTTTCTTGCCTAGCGAAACGGCGCGAGAGCTTGGCGAGCACGGTCTTCGCTTCCTGCGCAGATTCACCACCTTGGCCCGAATGTCTCTGGAGTCTGGATGGGCCTTATTTCTTGTAACGCCGAAAATACATGTACTGCAGCATGTATTCTTGGTTGACCTGGTGCTCGCAGCAGATCGTGGAGCGTGGGTGGTAAATCCAATATGCTACTCGGTCCAGCAGTCCGAGGACTTCATAGGTCGGAACTCAAGGGTCGCTCGGAAAGTTCACCCTTCACAAGCATCCAGGCGGTGCCTTGAGCGTCATCTCTTACATGCCTACAAGCAATATCGCGAAGCAGGGCTTCTTGTGGACGCCAGAGATTAATTGACACCCACATATACAAATCCCTGAATTAGAGTGTATATAGAGGGTCCCTTAAATCTATCCCCGTATATAACTCAGATATGGTTTAAGGATCTCTTGCGGCCTGAGAGCCAATGCATCGGAGCTCGAAGCTCGCAGTCCGCCGGCGAGGTGGCGAAACAAGGGTTAGAGCTGGAGCTTGTGGGGCTTCAGGGTTTTTGGGGGCTTCGGTTCGTGAGAGGGTTCTTTAGAGGTTTCGGAAGGCTCTGGGCTGGGAAAGTTCACAGACTTCAGAGGCCCCTAAACCGAAACCCCACCCTAAAGTCTAAACCCTGGGCCCTTCACTCGAAACCCTAAACCGCCTAATGCCCTAGCACAGCTTTCGAGGTAGTTTGACAACACTCCTAGCTTCAACACCCACAGAAACCTGAAGCTCTAGAAGCCTTAAACCCGAGCCCTGGACTGTGAGCCTTAACGAGTACCAGGGAGTGCAGGGCATTCGAGGTTTTCAAACAACAATATCTTGAGTGTGGTATGGCTTCAGTTCGGAGGTTGTAAACTTGAGAACCCCTGTCCCAAACGTCGAATCCTGAAAACCTGGTTTCCAAATCCAAAACCTAGTTATTTTTAGAAACCTACTTTTTGTTAGGTTATAGGTTCTCTAGGTATGGAATATCTAACCAAGCACCTATGCTTGATCGAAGGGGTGGCGACTTCAGCAATGCAAGAGAACACCCAAATCCAAACGAGCTGCGGTCTTGTAAGCAAACGGAAACTCCATTGGGTCCTTCATCTCACACCTGAGTTGTCCTTTAAGCCCTTTGAAAATTATTTAAAAAAGATCCCAAAGGACAACCTAGACACAGGATCGAGGGCACGTTTCCGTTCACGCCAAAGGCCCCAAACATGCTTGCGACGACCGTGCCCATAGCCATGGGGTCCTAGGGTTTGGGTTATCACATTATATCATGTACAACATAATATAATGAAATACTATATATTTATACAAAGTACTAATATATATATATATATATATATATATATATATATTTATATTTATATATATATATATATAGACACACACACATTGTTATTATTATAAAATATAAAATAGGTATATAATATAATATAATATAATTTAATATAATATAATATAATATAATATAATATAATATATTTTAATATAATATTATATTATACTATATTTATGTTATATTATGTTATATATTATTATATTATAACATCTTATATCATATTATATCATATTATATTATATTACAGTATATATACTAAAAAATACAATACATATATATATATATATATATGCATGTATATAATTATTATGCTATTAGTATTCTTATTATTGTTATTATTGGCATCATTAATCGTCTTATTGATGTTGTTATTATTGTTATTATTATCATTCCTACTTTCTTATTATTATATATTATGCGTGTGTATATATATATATATATATATATATAGATATAGAGGGTTTTAGGGTTTAGGGTTTGGGGTTTGGGGTCCTGTGGCCAATCTCTATGCAGCTTCGCCGGATCGGGCCATTCTTGCCAGCGCTGAGCATCCAAGACTGACTTGGAGATGATCACCTTAGTACTTAAGGAGGAGCGTGGGAGTGGATCCCAATAGCAGCTCCTATAGAATCCCTTACATTAGGATGAGTCCTTAAATTCCTTCCTCCACTCTTCCGTAACCGCCAGTAAGTCACGCCCACGAGGATGAGGATGCAAAACACGGCCAGGGGGGTCATCTTTGCGACTGCTGTGACGTTTGGCAGTTGCGACATCAGGATCATTATGGGGGCAAAGGCAAGCAACCACTCCTGGTTCAGGGCTTAAGGTTAGGGGGGTCGAAGGCGAGCAAACAACCATCTTTAGGGGGCAAAGGCAACTTCAAGCAACCACTCCTGGTTGAGGGTGAAAGGTTTGCGGTTAGGCCGGGGCAAAGGCAAGCAATCACTCCTGGCTTAGGGTTCGGGGCTTGAGGTTAGCGACAACCACTCCTTCTTGCTGATGTGCCCAATGAGGTTCTCCAACTCCTCAGCAATAAGCACGCCAAAACTCGCCACGACGCCGAGGAAGTAGAGCATCATCATTAGCAGGACCACAGCCTCCCCTTCACAGGATGTTTAGGTTTAGGGGTTTAGAGTTTAGGGGTTTAGGGTTTATAGGGCCTTGTGCACATGCTGAGTCACAAGGGGGTTTAGACAGTTCAACTCACAACAAGATTCCTGCACCCGAGGCGCCTGTCTTGCCAAAGGCAGCTTTCCCAAAATCTTCATATGAAACGATGGCCTTGGAAGCAAGATCCTTAGCGTCGGCGTGATTGCCAGCCATGACGCCCTTCCACATCGCAATGCCGGATTCCGTGATGGCCATGTAGCATGCAAGCATTGACAAGATTGACCTGAGATTTGACATGCCATAAACGCGGGCATCAGGGTATGGGTCGGGAAGGAGGTAATTAATCAACTAAATGAAGACTCAACGACCAGCAGTCACGCAACCCTAAACCTTACGCCGGAACATTTGATTCCCTAAACCCTAAAGTCCTGGTGCTTTCGGCTTTTTGGCTACCTAACGCCCTAAACCCTACAACCCTAAGCCCTAAACCTTAAGCCCAAGACCCCTAAACCCTCAAGCCCTGGTCCTTTCGATTTACTACTACTGTAGTCTTGGCTCTATTAAAACTCATGCAATCCTAGCTCCTCCTGATGTTTCTGCTCAACTTTCAATTGCGGGCACGAAATCGCAAAATTCCGGGGGCCGGAGGTTTTATTATCAGGGGGGGCTATTGAAATAGGGGGAAGGGTTTATGAGGGAAGGCTACCACGTATTAGGCAGACCTTTGTAATTATTACGGCAGACCATTTAATTTGCACACTTGCACAAACATACCACCGCTGCAAGAAAAGACATAGCCCACGTAGACCGGGAGACATGCACCAGCCGCCCTTCATGGGCAACTGTGGTAACGCCATAACTCCCACGCCAATAACCTTGCTTGGGCTTTGCCGGTGATTTTGTTATATCATGAAGCTCGCTGGTTAGCCGCTAGTTGTCATCTTACCATTTAAACGCAGCTCGACTAAAGCAGCGCAAAACAGCTCCGGACCAACATGCGAGTGGCCACAACAACCAGGCTGAATGTCGCCTGCCACCATGGCATGCCGGGAGTAAAGTCAAGCTCGTCATTCGAGTCCCACGGCTGAACCGTCCCACTCTCCTCCTCACTCCATTCCTGAGTCTGCGATGTTCTCAATAGTTGGGCTTCCGTCTGGTGTGTCCATTCATTCGGGATCTCACTGTTCAGGGTCTATACGACAAAAGCCATAAACGAGCCTCGAGCCCCCAACCTTGATCCCTAAACCCCAGAACCTTACTAAACCCTCAGCTGCCTTCCACAGGTACTTCCTTGTGAAGCCTGCCTTGCAAAGCAACAACTAGATTTTGATTGCTTCGTGAATCCCTACCCTAGGCTCTCGAGCCTGAATCTCATAAGAGCCTTCTAAAACCCTTAACAAACCTCTGTGTGAAAATCTCGCCCAAAGGGTCCATGTAACTGTATGCTCTATACATAGGCCTTAACGATGTCCTACGAGGTGCTTTCGGGCGAATGTATATGCTATCCTATACTAGGTGTCGATTTCAACAATATATCAATCAATAAGGGAAACCGCAAAAAAAGGTTATCCCAAATCGATGCCTGGTATATATATATATATATATATATATATATATGGGTAGTTGTCAAACTTAAGTTCCCTTTTTGGGTACCCTAAATCTTAGGTGCCGTATTATAATAGGGACCCGAAAAGGGACCTTAATTTTGACTACCACCCATATGTACATCCCTAATATAGCACCCTAAATAATAGGATCCTGATTATAAGGACCCCAAAAGAAGGTACCCCTAATTTTCGGAAACTCCCATAGGTACATGGGACCCTCTTTTTTTTCATCTCCAAGTCTCCTCTTCAGAGGACGGCTCTTCGGGCACACGCATGGCTTCACAGGGGACAGGATCAGCTGCTTGGGACATTACCCCAAGGGACCGAAGCCTAAAGGCTCACGGCAGCGCGCGAGGTCGCAGGGCAACTTACCAAGAAGGTCCATATAATATGAATGCCTGAACAAGTACCGAATGTTCTTCGTCAGGTTTGCTTACTGTGACTATATCATAATAAATCCCCAAGCCCCAGTCTAGTTGTGGAGGCCCGGTATTCTACCACTTTTCTGGAATTACCTGTAGTCTCCATTGTAGTTCCTTTCTGGGGTTACCTTACAGGATCCTAATTATATATTTGCTTAAACCAAAAAAAGGAACCACAATGGAGACTATAGGTAGGACCTCCAAGCCATGATGAGAATGGTCTTTTGGGGCTGGCATAGTTTCGTAGTGGTAGTGTATGTGGACCCTCTAAGCCTCAGGGTTAGATTCTACCTCGACCCTAGAATATAGTATTGTATTGTGAAAAGCTTCAGGTTCTTAGAATAGGATCCCAACCATAGAATAGGGTATCCAGAAACAAAAATGAAGGGGGCCTAGGGGTAGAACCTCTATGCCCCAGTCCTCTGACTCTAGTTTCACAGGCTTCCGAGTTAGAGTGAAACTTGCAGAGCTATATAATACGAGCAGCAGACTCGGGCGGATGCCAGATTTCACAACTTCAACGGTAATGTCGGAACCTGATTAAGAAACCTTGGGCCTTTATTAGGGTTCCTTATATGAAGCCAACTATTTTGGGGCTATAGGCCCAGGGTTTCTTAATCAGGTTCCCACATTAGCTTCAATGCGCTCTGAGGTCGGAGTAAGGGCTGTCATCTGCAACTATAGAGGATGTTGAACAGCTTTTTCAAAAACCTAAGTGCCCTATCGAAAAAACCCTAAGCCTAAACCCTACTAAACTTATAACTAGTAACTTGAGAGTTGATAACCATACAATGCCCATAGAGGATGTTGAACAGCTTTTTCAAAAACCTAAGTGCCCTATCGAAAAAACCCTAAGCCTAAACCCTACTAAACTTATAACTAGTAACTTGAGAGTTGATAACCATACAATGCCCTCATGCGTATATCTCATTGTAGCTGCATAGTCAGAAACCTTGTCGTTAGTAATGTAGCCTTATAATACAAGTATATACGCATAAAGAAAACAGATAAACATGTTAGCATGCATACATGCAGACAAACAAACAGACGTACAAACATACACACATACATGCATACATACATACATACATACATACATACACGCATGCATGCATAAATATACGTGTGTGTGTATATATACATATATATATATATATATATGCATGCATGCATGCATGCATGCATGTATGTATGCATATACACATGTACATGCGTATGAACGTAACATTGATGGAAGAATCAGAGGCCCCGGCCTCGCCCCGGCAGCTGCCACGCTTTCCTTCCCTTTTCACTCAGCCACGGAGCTGTCGATCTACTGCTTTCTCGAGCAAAAGCACGCGAAGTCAATCGTTGGGGTTTGGGATGTAGGGTTTAAGGGTTTAGGGATTTTGGGATTTGGGGTTATGTAGGGTTTAGGGATATGGGACTTTTTAGGGTTTAGGGCTCACGGCAAGCTTTAGGGTTTAGGGCTCGGGGCTTGGTTTAGGTTTCAAGTTTCAGGGTTTGGGGCTTGCTGGCGAACTGAATTACCTTGGAGGCACGTGCCTGCCATGGCTATGTCGGAACCTCTGATTCATGAGCGGTGGGATGCACAGGTTTGGGCGACCTCGAAAGCAGGCTCTCATTACAGGAGTCTATAGCAAGTTTGAGGGGGAGAAAGACTGACTGCTGGGTTCGAGACGGAAGACTCGGTCACCGAGAGCATCAACCCTAAACCCTCTACCCAGCCGGCTCTCCTCTGCAGACTGAACTATTTATCTATCCCTCAAGGCCTCCAAGCTCTCAGGGAGGGCTAGATTTGAACCCTAAGCTCTAAACCCTAACCTTGCGCAGACTTCAACCACACCGTGAACTCTAGACCCAGCAGCAATGCAAACAAATCCCGCACTCCAACGATATTGAAAAAAACAGCCTGCGCACCCTTACAGCCGACAGCCCTAAACACAGTAATTATGCACAACCCAGAGGAAAGAGACAAGGGAAGAGTAGACCCAGGACCTCACATTTTTGCCAGACAATCCACAACCTTCAACATCCTTCAACCCCTAAGCCTGCGATCGTAAATTTCAAAACCCGGTAAACCTTGAACCCTGAACCCCTACACCTTGAGCCTGAGCCCCTGAACCCTAAGCCGCCGGCCCTAACCGCGACGTAACCCTAATCCCTAAACCCAGATGGGAGTGTATAATAACCCAGTATCAGAATCCTTATCCCTGAGTGTTGTCATCGTTTGATGTTCTTCTTATCGTTTCACCACGAAAAATGCGTTATCGTTTTGCTATCGTGTTGTTTTCTTCTTATCGTCTCCACGGAAAACCATCAAAACCGAACACGGACATGTCAAGACTAAACTTAACGGTGCGGGGTTATTATACAGTCTCACAGATGTAAGCCCCAAACCCCGAAAACCCGCGACACCTCCACGAGGTCTACAGCGGTTCAGGAGATAGTGTGTGGAGTTCGGGTTAGCGTCTATTCCCCTGGAGGATGAGGCTTCGGACACTTACAATACCCCCCCAATTTCACTCTGCTTGAAACTCAGCTCGGGCCTGTCATTCAGAAAAACGACTGAACACCTTGAACAAGCTTCATAACATATAATAAACCTTGAACCCTGAGCCCTACAACCCTCGTAGTTCCTTTTTTGGGTTAACCAAAGTCTCTGTTAGAGGACCCTAATATATAACCAGAAAAGGAACTACAATGGAGACTCACTCTAGGTAAACCCTGAGCGCGAGAGCGGCCTCCAGTCCAGCCATACTGGCGATGCGGTTGTTCTGCAGGAACAACTGCTGGAGCCGCCTCTGCAGATCCCCGTTGCGGGTTTAGTGCTTGAAGGGTTGGGGGGGGGGGTTAGGGTCTACCTTAACCCTGAAGAACCTACCCTTTTTAGGGCTTTCCTTATGAGTCCTGAATAAGATAGGTTTTTCAGGGTTCAGGTCATGCTTGAAGGGTTGGGGGGGGGGGGGGGGGTTTAGGGTTTAATTAGGGTTTTAGGGTTTGTAGGGGTCTAGGATGATTTAGGGTTTAAGGGAGAGCTGTTGGGCTTTCCGTAAGCACCCGGCTCTAGGGGTTTCACTAGAACCCAGAAGTTTGGAACACCAGTATCCACATACCCTTACAGGGCACCCTCAAAAGTCGGAACACGGGTTAGGACGGTTAGGACACCATGTGCCAACTTCCTGGACTTCCCCGTAGTAGGGCTTCAAAGTGTCGGGCTTAAGGTTCGGGTGTAGACTGTAGGGTTTCGACAAGGTTAGAGTGAAGACGATTTTGGTGACAGTGATGATAATGAAAACGCAGGTAACCGACATGGCATGAAGAAGCAAACCGAACTTTACGTGCTCGGTACAAGCAGGATGCCCCTGTTAACAGCACGCTTCATACGCTGTTTGCGACTGGCTTCTCCAATTCCGTGCTCTGTAAAGGCATGGACGCGCTCTGGAGTTTAAGGGGAACATGGCGGCCAGTGGGGATGCAACTGGAGATAGTCGGCCTGTTCGCCGGGACTGTGCAAGTCAGAAAAGCCAAGACTAATCTGCGGAATTGGCGAGGTACCCACATGAAGGGAGTTGGCCCCAAAATTGAAACCCTCTAAACCAGCCCTCCTCTAGCTATCTTCGGCTTCAAGCAGACCCCCTCCCACCCCTGCCTGAGATTCTCAATTCCAGCAAGGCTGGAGATCACATTGTCGTATGCGTACCTGCATGTACTGTCTTCGGGATTAGGTTACCCAAAAGCTCTGCCTCCCACAAACAAAAACAAACACACAAATGCAATCCTCCCTCTGATTGACTCGTTCTTTGAATATCTTCCCACGTTCCGAGGTGAAGACGTGTAGCCACTAGGTGGCATATTGGGGTTCTAGGCTTAGCCCAATCCCATGTCAATGTAGAAGCATTTGCAAATGACAGTTGCAGGAACACTCGCAGAGGTTTCTCTCTCTCTCTCTCTCTCTCTCTCTCTCTCTCTCTCGCACGCACACACATTCTCTCTGTCTCTCTATCTCTCTCTCTCTTTCTGGCGCTCTGTATCCATCGCAAAGATGTTTGAGTATACAAAGCCAAGCAGCCGCACTCAAAGCCCTTCGCTGTTGGCTTCGGGGCTTTGCTCGAAACCCTACCGCCAAACTTCGCAAATCCAACCTGCAACCCTTACCTCCAAACCCTCCTGGCTTAAGCTCCAAAGCCCTGAAGCACCTAGACTTTGAGCCTGGAACAGGCCTGAGGTCCGAAACCTCAACGACTCTAAAGACCTATGTTCGGAACCGAATTGCCAAGCCCCCAACTTTGACCCGAGCTCCCGAACCGCGGGGTCTACTCAGAGCCAGGGTGGACCCCAAGAAACCTACATGTCTGTTCTTGCAAATTATGCTTTGCTTATATAGACCCTTAAAAAGGTAGGTTTTCTAGGGTCCAAGTAAGACTTGAAGCCCGAAATCTAAGCCCTAAGACCTGAACCCTTGACACGAACCTAAAACCCTGATCCAGGAAAGCCCTTGGACAGTGGAGCACGGGTCACGAACGTAACAACATGTAATAGCCCCGGCAGTTCCACATATACATATGCGTATACATACAATATTTTGAAATGTAACATTACACATGCATACATGCATGCATACAACGATACTTGCGTACATACGTACATACATACATATTTACGTACATAAGTAGGTATGCATTTAGGTATGTATGTATGTATGTATGTGCCTATGCATATATATGTACATATATATGTATATATGTATGTATACATATATACATACATACATACATACGTACATACATGCTTCACATACCAAGAGCCCCAAGCCCTAGACAAAACCCTGATCCCCCAAAGACCCCGGTAGA